TATGGAGATGTTCTTTTGCTGTCTGTATTTGTTCTCTTATATCATCCTTTCATTCACAGAACATTTTAATTATACATCCTGAACTCCTTCTCTGACATTTCTTTTGTTGTGCTGGCCATGGATTCTAATAATGTATTCTCTTGATTTGTTTGGGGCATCTCTTTCCCCTTGTTTTTTTATGTTGTTCGTGTGTTTTCCCTTCTAGCACTGTAGATCTGTGGCATTAAGTTTTTTACCCTACAGGCTTATAGTGCCCCTGCACAATTCCAATACCTCTCCTTTGCGGGGAAGAACAATGTTAAACAATATAAACCTTAATCCAAATAGCTGTTATTAAGACATTTATCTTTTGCCACAATATATAGAAATGGTGATTTCAATTATTATATACAATATAAACAGTAGGCATGCAAAAAGGGTCTACAATTTCTGATGGTGGATAAAGAACAGGGGGTGAGGTGTAGGATGAGATGTTGAGGAAGTAGGAGGTGAGGATATACAATTATTAGATCTTAGAAAGCTTGAAAGAGGAATCTAAAGAAGTTGGTTAACAGTTGTCGGGGAGAGGGGTGTTGGGGAATATGGATACCTACTTAGCCAGTGTTCCAAGCTGGAGGTTTACCCCAACTAAAGATGGCAATGAAGGTGTCCCAAGCTGGAGGTGACTGCTTTCAGCGATAGAGTGTTAGGTCAGGTGGGGGGGAGCCAGGTGGTGGCACTGGGAGATGTGTTCAGAGATGCAGCTCTACGGCATGCAGCGTTGTTGTTGTAAGCTGTCTCTAGACCCAGGGCAGGCTCCATGGGTGTTGGTGGTGCTGACCTAGGCCTGCCTGGGCTCCACAAGTGTCACTAGGGCTCTGTTTTGTCAATTTTTTAAATTGTTTCTTTTGTTTAAATTTCATTGATTTCTGCCCTGATTTTAATTATTTCCTGTCTTCTACTACTTTTGGTATTGGTTTGTTATTCTTTTTCTAGAACTTTGAGATGTAATGTCAGGTTGACTTTTTGACTTTTCCTTCTTTTAATGAATGAGCTTAATGCAATGAACTTTTCTCTTAGCATTACCTTCATAGTGTCCCATAGATTTTGATAATTTGTATCAGAGTTCTCATTTACCTCTGATGTCTTCTGTTATTCACGCATCATTCAATAGTGTATTGTTTAGTCTCCAGGTATTGGAGTACCTTCTATTTTTTATTTTATCATTGATTTCTAATTTTGTTGCATTATAGTCAGATAGAATGCAGGACAGTATCTCATTTGTTTTGTATTTGCTAAGACTTACTTTGTGGTATTACATAAGTCTATTTTGGAGAAGGACCATGAATCATGTGCTGCTGAGAAGAAAGTGTATTCTCTTGTTGATGGGTGGAATATTCTATATATGTCTGTTAAGTCTAAATTATTGATAATATTATTGATTTCTACAGTTTCTTTGCTTAGTTTTTGTTGGAAGATCTATCCAGTGGTGAGAGAGATGTATTAAAGTCACCCAGTATTGTTGTTATGGTCTATTTAGTCCTTGTAGTTGAGATGGGTTTGTTTGATATACATAGATGCCCCACTGTTTGAGTCATAGATATTTATGATTATTATGTCTTGTTGATGTATGAATCCCTTAAGCAGTATGAAATGTCCTTCTGTATCCCTTGGTTTTAAGTCACTTTATCTGATATGAGGATGGAAATCCCTGCTTCTTTACATGATCCATATGAGTGGTATTTTTCCCCCCGCTGTTTCACCTTCAGTCCGTGGATGTTTTTTCCTGTGAGATCAGTCTCTTGAAAGCAGCATATTATTGAATCTTTTTTTATTAATCCAATCTGTCAGCTTGTGTCTTTTAATTAATGAGTTTAGGCCATTGACATTCAGGGTTATTATTGAAATATGATTTATATTCCCAGACAGTTTGGTTTATTTTGGTTTCTAACTTGATTTCTCCTTTGATTGGCCTTTCCTTTAGTTCCTCCCTTTGCTGATTTTCATTGTTGTTTTTCATTTCCTCCTCCTGGAATATTTTGCTGAGAATGCTCTGTAGTGCAGGTTTTCTCACTGTAAATTCTTCTATCAAGAAAGGTTTTTATTTTGTCATCAAATCTGAAGCTTAATTTTGTTGGATATAAGATTCTTGGTTGGCATCCATTTTCTATCAGAGCTTGGTATATGGTGTTCCAGGATCTCCTGGCTCTGAGGGTCTGGGTTGAAAAATCTGCTGAAATCGAAATTGATCTCCCCTATATGTAATCTGATCCCTATCTTGCTGCCTTTAAGATCCTATCCTTATTCTATATGCTAAACATTTTCATTACAATGTGACTTTCTGTAGATCTGTTTTAATTTAGTATCCTGCAAGCCTCTTGTATTTGATTTTTTAATTCATTCATGTTTGGAAATTTTCTGATATTATTTCATTGAAGAGATTGCACATTCCTTTGGTTTGAATCTCTATCTTCCTCTATCCCAATACATCTTAGATTTGGTCTTTTGGTGCAATCCCATAAGTCTTGGATATTCTGTTCGTAGTTTCTTACTATCTTCACTGTGTGGTTAACTTTACTTTCAAGATTGTATATTTTGTCTTGTCTTATATTCTATCTGCCAAGTGATATAGTCTGTTGGTAAGGCTTTCTACTGAGCTTTTTTTTTTTTAACTTGGTTTATTGTATCCTTCATTTTAAGAATTTCTGCTTTTTTCCCCCAGAATCTCTCTCACTTTCTTGAAGTAATCTTTTGCTACATGTATTTGCTCTCTTATCTCTGTTTGTGTCATGAATAGTTACCTATATTTGCTCTCTTATCTCTTTGTTGGAGTAATCAATTTTTGCCTGTATTTGCTCACTTATGTCATTGTTTAATTCACAGATCATTTTAGTCATGTACATTCTGAACTCCTTCTCTGACATTTTCACCAACTGTGCTGTCCATGGATCCTATTATTGTAGTATCTTGGTTTGTTTGGGGCACTTTCTCCCCTTGTTTTTGCATGTTGTCTATGTGTCTTCCTTTCTTGCAGTGCAGATCTGAGGTATTAGTTTCTACCCTACAATCTTGCAGGGTCCCTGCAGATTACCTATACTTCATCTTGGTGTTGGGCTTTCTGTCCCTGGCCGGTGTCCCACAATGGATACTACTACAACTAAAGGTGGTGGCAGCAACAGCAGAGATAACTCAAGATAGCAGTGGGTGTCCAAGATGGATGCAACCAATTTCAGAGATGAGGCTGAAAACATGGACCTTACAATGGCTTTGGGCTGCCTGTTCGGAGATGCACTTGCTTCCTAGCCCTGTCTGTTGTCCCAAGGTGAAGACTTCTATGTGGGGAGGGCTATGGTGATGGCTGTAGTATCCCAAGATGGAGGTGGGCTAGGCCTGGTTTCCCAATTGAGTTGGTGGGCGTGGTCCTAGACCTGGGCCTAGGCTCTGATGTGAATCTGCTGGTCAGTGGAGATAGTCCTAGGCCTGACCTGGGCCTGGGCTTCGGTGCAGGTAGGTGGAGGTGGTCCTATGCCTGGGCCTGGGCTTTGGAGTAGGTTTGCCAGTTGGTGGGGCAGTCCTCAATGATTACTAGTTTAAAAAAAATGTTAATTATTTGTATGTCTACATTTGAGAAACATCTATTCAGATAATTTGCCCATTTTTTAGTTGGGCTATTTGGGGATTTTTGCTCTTTATATATTCTGGATATTAATCTCTTGTCAGATGATTAGTTTGAACGATTTTTCTCCCATTCTTCAGGTTTGTCTCTTCACTCTGTTGATTGGTTCCTTTGTTCTGATGAAGCTTTCTATTAAGTTTCTTGGTTTTGTTTGTTTGTTTTTAAATAAAACAAATCATTCTGGGTGCAGTGGTGCATGCCTGTAATCCCAGCAGCTTTGGAGGCTGAAGCAGGAGGATTGTGAGTTCAAAGCCTATCTCATCAATGGCAAGGTGCTAAGCAACTCAATGAGACCCTGTCTCTATATAAAATACAAAATAGGGCTGGGATGTGGCTCAGTGGTCGAGTGTCCCTGTGTTCAATCCCTAGTAACCCCCCACAAAAAAAATTATAGAGAAAACACATTCCAAAAAGCCATGCTTGTAATACCAGCCATCCTAAAACGTTATTCTAGATTTCTGGCCCTCCAGGATCACAAACACTATCTGACTAAAATGGTTTCTTCCCCAAGGATTAAATGAGACTTGAGATAATAGACAAAACAGTGTCAGGACTGGGATGAGGAGCCCTAACAGCTTATTTCTTCAAAGTCAAAAAAGGGAAGGGAGACTTTAGAGTCTATTGGCAAGATGGAGTCTTCCATGATGTAATATCACAAGAGTGACAGCACATACTATTGATTAGGAGCAGTTCTACAGATTCCACTCACACTCAAGGGGAGGGTATGAACCCACCATATCCATGCAGGTTTTTCACTACCTGAGGCATTCCTAATTTTGAGAATATTTCTTTAAAAAAAATAAAAGAAGACTATGTGACTGAGGGTGTCCTAAAACTTCAGCTTCAATAGCTTGATAACAAATCCACCTCCGTACCCCCATGATATTTCAGTGAAAAACTAAAAAGTTTCCTTTTCCTATAAAACTTAAAATATTGATACATATAAGAATTTCAGTTATAGAAAAAACACACCATCTGTGAAATGTTAGTAGAGAAAAATCTGTTGAAATTAACAGGTGATTTAAACTCTAGACCAAAGACATAAAATTGTTAAAAATGATACCATCAGTACAAAGGTAAAACTATACAATTTATTTATCATTCTAAAAGCATAACCTTCAGAGATTGTCCTTAAATAAAAAATATAATTTTTGAACAGTCTGTCAATTTTTACATTAAGACAAACAAAAAAAATTGTCAAATCTTTAAGCATCCAAACACATAAAATTCAATAAGACTGTTTTTTTCCCCCAAAACCAGTGTCCAACATGAGCACCCAAACCACAGAAAGTTTTTTTTTTAAAGAAATGTTTTCTAAGCAAGATGTTTCAGTGTTGATACGTACCTGTTGTGTCATATGACAAAAAATTGACTTCCCTAGCTTTTAGATAAGCATTAGTATGCTCCTGTTTTCCCCAGGATTTCCTTTTCTCTTTTTGGGAAGCTGGTTCTGGGGCAACTGCATGTGGTTGAGTTATGCTTTCTTTAAGGAAATCTAAAAATAAAACCATTATCAAATGAATATATATGATGAACATAAATAATACCATAGTATTTTCACATACCAAGCAATATAGTTGATTATTATATGAGGCACCATAATAACACTGTAGTTAAGAGCAGAGGCTCAGAGTTAAACCAGCTGGGTTCCATGCGCAGAGACAAACTACCATGCACAGTTCAATGATTTACCTTATAAGTTACTGTCTGACTTAACATTCTTACCTTTGAAATGATGAGTGTTGTAGGAAGAACCTCATAGGCTTAAAATACTTAAATTAGAAAGTGCTTTCTTATTAAGGTAAATATTATTTGTGATTTTGTTATTACACTCAAATCTTTGAAGTGTAAATCCTTATATAAAATTCACAGAAAAACCCTTGTATTAACTAACTTAATTGAATAAAAAATATTTAGGTATAAATGCAGAAGAGTAGCAAAGGATCCATATCTCAGATTTCTTCTATGCTTACTTAATTGGTGGGTTTTCAACACATACAAGAAAGAGAAACTATTGAAAATAGAAGTTTTGATTAAGTAGTCAATTTTTGCAGCAGAGTCTTACTATGTTTTCAAGACTGTTCTCAAACTTCTAGGCCCAGGAAAATCTTCTTGCCTCAATATATAGCAGGTATGCTACACTGCACCTGGCAATAAAGCTTTTTAGAAGCAAATACATTTTTACTTGATTCTCTCACTTATTTAACAAATACTTATGTAGTGCAAGGCATCAAGTTATAATCTAATAGGGGATAAGACACAATAATTACAAACAAAACAAAACACATGTAAATGAAATAACCAATAAGTCTGTTTCAGCCAATAGTCCCAACTCAGAGAGATTTCCTCATTCATATGATCAAAGAGACACACACCCTGTTTCTCATTGTGGGTAAGGGTATAGAGCTGGGAGAGAAAACGTGGGCTTTTTTGGAAAGTTTTGTGAAATAGTTTTAAAAACTTTCTGCTAGCATTAACCTCTATTACCAGAGTTTCTCCCACCCCCTGGCTTATTCCCTAGGGACACCCTAGTTATTCCCTAAGGACACCACTGATGTGAAACCCTCTCAAGTGCTTGCTGTTTCTAATATCACATTCTATCTATCCCAGACTGGAAAGGGGATCATTTTCCTCCTTGCTCACCATTCACTAACTTCAAATCATTACAACTTGCCCTTAAAAAAAAAACACCATGAAATATAATCCTACTCCTTTGAAGCTAATGCCTTTTCGTTATACCACACCCTTTTAGTCTTCTTTGATGTGCCAATTTCCTAGTCACTCAATTAATCTAGAACTTCAGCTCCTGAGAGGGCCCATTTTTTCTATATGAAACCTGCCACCATCTGATAACTTCAGTGTTTCTGAATTAAGACCTGTTTGATACTATGCCTGCCCCCACTTTCTAGATATTCTCACAGCTCTAGTCTACCTCAACCAATCACACTCAAGCAACTTTATGCCACATTTCTGCCATAGGTTTTATTTTCAGATTGGCCTAAAGAAAGTCTACTCAATAATATATAGCTGCTCCATGTGTGGTTACTGTTACATCATTGTGTTTGTCACTACTTGCCCTGTTATGATTGGATCTGAAATATCCTCCAAAGGCTCATGTGTTAGTCCCCAATAAGGCACTGTGTAGGTGGGGCTTTTAGAAATGATTGGATTATACCATTTGACCCAGCTATCCCACTCCTCAGTTTATACCCAAAGGACTTAAAATCAGCATATTACAGTAATGCAGCCACATAGCAATTCACAACAAGTAAACTATGGAACCAACCTAAGTGCCCTTCAATAGATGAATGGATAAAGAAGATGTGGTATATATGTACTCAATGGAATATTACTCAGCTTTAAATAAGAATGAAATTATGTCATTTGCCAGTAAATAGATGGAGTTGGAGAATATCATGCTAAGAGAAATAAGCCAATTCCCCAAAACAAAGGCCAAATGTTTTCTCTAATATGCAGATGCTAATTCACAATAAGGCGGTGGGTGGGGCAGGGACACTAGAGAAGAATAGCATTACCTTGGATTAGGCAGAGGGAAGTGAAGGGAGGTGATGAGAGGGAATGTGGGGATAGAAAAGATAATGGAATGAAACAGACATTATTGCTTTATGTATAGATGTGACCGCATGACCAATGGGATTCTACAACACGTACACTGAGAAAATGAGAAATTATATCCTATCTATGTACAATATATCAAAGTGCATAATGCATTCTACTGTCAGATATAACTAATTAAAACAAATTTTAAAAAGAAATTATTGGATTATGAGGGCTCTAATCTTATCATTGATGGATTTGTGATCTGAATTATTGGGAGATGGTGGAAACTATAGGAGGAGGGACCTAGTTAAAGGAAATGGGTGTTAAAGGCACACCCTTGGAACTATATCTTGTCCCTGGTCCCCTCTTCCTTTCTGGTCTAATTCCCAGCTATTAGGAGCTGAGCAGCTTTCCTCCATTACACCCTTCCTCCATGATGTTCTGCCTCACCTCAGGCCCAAAACAATGGAGCTTAATGAACATGGACTTAAACCTCTGAAACCATGAGCCAAAATAAATCGCTCCTAGATATATAATTTTATTAGATATCTTATCTATTTATTTATTTTCTCGGCCCAGTAACCCACACCATAATCCGCATAATCCCAGTGACTTGGGAGGGTAAGCCAGGATTGCAAGTTGGAGGCCAACATCAGCAATTTATGAAGTCTTTTAGCAACTTAGTAAGACCGTGTCTCAATAATAAAAAATAAAAAGGACTGGGGATATAGCTCAGTGATAAAGTGACTCCAGGTTCAATCCTCAGTACCAAAAATTATCTATATCTATATCTCTATCTCTATCTCTATCTCTATCTCTATCTCTATCTCTATCTCTATCTATCTATCTATCTATGGGATGGGTACAATGGTGGGTGCCTATAATCCCATCAACTCTGGAGGTTGAGAGAGAAGGATTGTGTATTAATTTAACAGGCAATATAGGAGAAGATATATTATTTAAAATGCTAAAGTCTTGGTCCAGCTCAGACAGGGAAAAAAAAAAGGGAACATTGATTTTGACAGACCCTAAAAACACCTGAGAAATTATGTAGAAAGAGAAGTAAAAACTTATGAAAGAAAAAGAAAAAGAGCAGATAGAAAATTAGAAAGAAAATCTTAAAGAAAGAATAACTCAACAATATATAGTTGCTCTATAATGTTACTATTATACTGTATAACAAAGAAGAGTTTAGAAAACATAAACAGCAAATAGTTTTCCTCAAAATCAAGGGGAAAAAGGAAGGTAAGTGGTTAAAAGAAAAAAAATGTGGCAGAATGGTGTAGTAAAATAAAGATTATTTTATTTATAAATTAATCATTTCTATCATTTCTATGAGGATTTAGCCATGAGGAAGCAACCCTGAAGAGTCTTACTAGTATAGTAAAGGTGGTAGAATACATGTTGAGGAGTGAGTGAGAAGTCAAGAGTTGGAGGAAGTTTCAGCCATCATTTTAAGATGACTGACACTATAGTGGTAACTGTCAAAAACAAATACAGATCTCAAAGATGTTTCAGGATTGTTTTGTTTAAAATTGTTAAATATATAACATGTTCATATTCAGACAGAAAAGAGCAAATAGAAAGGAAGAGATGAGAGAAGATAATGAATTGATACTATGTTCCTGAGGACATGGAAGGAGAGGAACTCTAGAATGAGGTGGTAGATTTACCTTAAAGGAAAAGAGGTAAAATTATCACCCAAGACAAGTACTGCAGATGGGGCTGAAAGCTTATAAAAGTGTGGATACTGAAGAGCTGGATAAAAAGGGAAAATAAAAATCCGGGAAATGATAGAATTTGAGATAGGGAGAAGGAAGGAAGACAAAATAAAATGGAGTTAAGAAGATCTTTAGCATGTTATTGGCACCAAAACAGGCTGGTAGACCAATGGTACAGAATAAAAGACACAGAAACTAACCCACAAAATTACAACTAGTTCATATTAGACAAAGGTGCCAAAAGCACACACTGTAGAAAGGATAGCATCTTCAACAAATGGTGCTGGGAAAACTGGAAATCCATATGCAACAAAATGAAATTGAATCCCTATCTCGCACCATGCACAAAAGTTAACTCAAAATGGATCAAGGACCTAGGGATTAAACCAAAGACTCTTCATCTAATAGAAGAAAAAGTAGGCCCTAATCTCCATCACGTGGGATTAGGCCCCAATTTCCTTAATAAGACACCTATAGCACAAGAATTAAAACCAAGAATCAACAAATGGGATGAATTCAAACTAAAAAAGTTTTTTTCTCAGCAAGAGAAATAATATGTGAGTTGAATAGGGACCTACATCCTGGGAACAAATTTTTACCCCTCACATATCAAATAGAGCACTAATCTCTAGGGTATATAAAGAGTTCAACAAGATAAGCACCAAAAAAACAAATAATCCAATCAATAAATGGGCCAAGGACCTGCACAGACACTTCTCAGAAGAGGATATACAATCAATCAACAAATATACGAAAAAAATGTTCATCATCTCTAGCAATCAGAGAAATGCAAATTAAAGCTACACTAAGATACCATCTCACTCCAGTAAGAGTGGCAGCCATTATGAAGACAAACAATAACAAGTGCTGGCGTGGATGTGTGGAAAAGGTACACTCATACACTGCTGGTGGGACTGCAAATTGGTGTGGCCAATTTGGAAATCGGTATGGAGATTCCTTGGAAAGCTGGGAATGGAACCACCATTTGACCCATCTATTCCTCTTCTTGGACTATACCCAAAGGACCTCAAAACTGCATACTACAGGGACACAGCCACATCAATGTTTATAGCAGCACAATTCATAATAGCTAAACTGGAGCCAACCTAGATGTCCTTCAGTGGATGAATGGATAAAAAAAAAATGTGGTATTTATTCACAATGGAATATTACTCAGCAATAAAAAAGAGTAAGATCATGGCATCTACAGGGAAATGGATGGCATTAGAGAAGATTATGCTAAGTGAAGTTAGCCAATCTCCC